CATCTGTTCTTGTTTTTTTATTCTTTTTTTTTTTTTTACCTTCTCTGCTTCCCACAAAGAATTCTGCTGCTTGCTTCGCTACTACCCATCAAAACAACACAAGGCATCTCTGTGCACGCCAGAATGCGCCACCTGCTGTACGTTACGGTACTGCTGTTGGTGCTGCTGCCTCTCTACTGCACCAACGGGCTCGCTGCCACTGGGGGACGCTCGTGTGGCTTCGACGCAGTGAGGAGGAGACGTGGAAATACTCCCGTGGCTGTGGTGCGTGAATTGCCAGTAAAGGGTCAGGGTCCATGGCAAGCATACACCGCGGCCACATATAGCCCTTGGGCTCCGATCCGCATCCTTGTCTCGACCATTGATCTGGAAGACGATAGTCGACATTGCACGGCGTTTGGACAGTTGCGGCCAGACTTTGAATTCGGGCAAAAGGTTTGTCTCGCCGACCATGTCCTCACGAACGAGAAGAGGAACGCCTTGATTAACCATATTATTCCGGGAGCCGTGAAACTCCACCAGGATCGCCTTCTCGTGAAGCCGTTAAAACATGCTTTTCAGGTTCCAAACTTCTCTTTGGGGCACCCATGTTCCGCCTTCAGTATTCCAAAAGACCACTACAACCCAGGTATATCCGGATACGACACGGTGATGTACGCAGCCGCCGGTCCGTCACACCTAGATGGAAATGTTGCTTGGGCAATTCTGTGCGCAACTCTGGCCAATAGCCGTCCGGTGACAGGAGTCATGCATTTAGCCCCGGAAAGTATTACCAATACCTCGCAAATGGTACGTGTTGTCGCTCACGAGATGGCGCACATCCTTGGTTTCGACAGAGAAGTGTTCTCTGCTAATAAAATGATTACTCTGGTGCATGATGTTCGAGGAAAGAGTAACGTTCATATGTTAACATCAGAAAAGGTTATGGAAAAGGCTCGGGAGCACTACAACTGCAGCAGTTTGGATGGTATTGAGATGGAGAAAGGCGAATGGCAAACATCGCTATCACACTGGGAGCGGCGCAGCGCAAAAGACGAGCTGATGACTGGCATTACGGGTATTGGTTACTACACGGCACTGACCATGGCAGCGTTTGAGGGCACAAATCACTATAAAGCAAATTGGGGTATGGAAGAAACAATGAGTTGGGGCAAGAACGCTGGTTGCAGTTTCCATACGGAGAAGTGCATTGAAAGAGGTACTACTAAATTCCCCGATTTCTTTTGTACTGCCCCTTCCAAAACGCCTGTGTGCACCTCTGACAGACGTGCGTTGGGGGAATGTGTACTCTTCAAGTACAACTTCCACCTTAGATACCAGTACTTCGAAGACAAACGTGTGGGTGGACGTCTTGGAGATATGACGGATTTGTGTCCGATTATTTCACCAATTGTGGATGGTGACTGTAATATTGATATTGCAAATGCTTTTCCTGGGAGTCGCACTGGTCCGTCGTCCTGGTGTCTGAAGGGAGAATCACTGGTGCTGAATGGGAAGATGGTTGGGGATGTGTGTGCGGAGGTACAGTGTGATGGCAAGAGTGTCCAAGTGCGGTACTATGGCGATGACAAGTGGTACCCGTGTCCAGAGGGTAAGGTGCTTAAACCGAATAATACCTTCACAAGCGGCAGCATTGTGTGTCCAAAGTACAGGGAAGTGTGTACTATTGCCGCAGACGGAAGCAGCCGCATTGTCAAGAAGATCATCCCAGAAGCAAGACATTCCAGTGATACAGAGAGCAGTATGGGTCCTACAGCGAATCTGGTGTCAGGAAACCGTGGAAACGAGGGGAACATGACTGACAAAAAAAAACAAGGTGGGTTTATTGAGAAATTACTTGCGGCCCTCAGTACCCCTTTTTTGTTTCTACTTGCTCTCTTCTCGAACATTTCAA